AGTGCGGCGTTGGGCAGTTGAGGGTCGTGCATCTGCCATTGTTGCTTGATACAAATTGACAAGTTTCAAACAATTCTGGCTACTAAGGATTTTTTCAAGATGGCAGCTGTTTATTGTTGCCCCTGGCATCTGGTTCATTTACATGGTGGAACTTTTAAATCTTACGCGGTACTGTAATGTAAAACATCCCTGATTGTGTCACTCGCAGTTTGTGGATATTTGCCAAGAACATTCCTCATTATAATTTGCACAGTTATGTCTCACGGTGGAATGGTTAAACAGTATAGGCAGAGCTTATCAGGAGACCAATCGACGATCACCTCAACCAACCACCCTATCACTCAAAATTATATGGGCTTTGTTGTTGCCTATTTTCTTTGTTTTGAAAATTACTTGATGGAAAATTATGAAAGTCATGTAAATTTTATTTTAGTTATTTATACTAATTATGTGGGCACATTCCTATATTTTTTATTATGCTGAAAAATAAATTAGGAATGTTGAAATATTCATAAACGTTAATGTTCCGCATTCTTACACAATGTATAATCAATACAGTTTTTGTTTCAGCAACTGTACCATAGAACTTTCATTTGTAAACATTTTAACAAATGAATGTTCTTAGACTAACTTAGAAAATGTAAAAAAATGGGTTTAAGCATATTAGGTATCACTGAACGGTGTCTTGAGAGGCCCGGAACATTTAGTTGAACGTGCTGAAAGGAGGAAGACTATTTAAGTGTGGAATGAGGGAAACACCATACACTTAAGTGATGTGTAAATGTTGTAGAATGCCCGAGAATTATTTAACGTGGAGAGAAAATAGGGGATCATGTGATAGAGGCAGACAGTTAATATTCTGTGTATTGTGGAACTGTATTTGAAATAAGGGTAAGGAGAGGGGTTAGAAAGCTTAAATGAGTGAGATGAGAGGTGATAAGCTTCCCAGAGGAACTTATGTTGTCATCTTAACCCATGACCTATCACCCCACTGGACTTTGAAGTAGCCATAGACAGTGGAACCTCGGTTTACGAATTCACTCTGTTCCAAAGGACGTACTGTATTTAATCCATTCCATATTCGTACACTGAATCAAATTTTCATATAATAAATAATGTAAATTGAATTAATCGGTTCAACACACCCAAAAATAGTAACTTAAAAATACATTTTATACAGAATACTACTCATTTTTTACTGTTCCTTACCTTTACTGAGGACTATTGATGGCATATGGGAAATGGTAAGAAGAAGGTGGAGGAGAAAAGGTGTTAGTGTTTGGAAGGCAAGTCCCCTTCAATTATAACATCAGGCAGTGATGATATTTCTGGGGCACTCTCTCTCCTATATTTTGTAGGCATACCAGTAAGAACTGGTTGTTTCACTAAGACTTGTCTATAGTCACTTGTTTTTCCTACGTTTCAACACTTGTCTATAGTGAAACATCACATTGTCATTAAAATGGTTAATGCAGTGGCCTGCTACAGGTTTATATGCATGAGTCTTTTCAGCAGTATTTTGCAGTTCTTTCCATTACATATGCCATGAGGACCCATGGCATGCTATATAATATGGACTTTTTGTTCTGAAACCCAAAAAGCAGAAAACAATGAAATTCTTCGCAAAGAATTTTAAGCGATATCATTTAGCGGGATACACTGGTAAACTGAGCGTGCCTCACCATGCGCCCAGCAACCCACGGGCCTGACCTATACATGTACAGTATCAACAAACATGTCGTACTCCATAGCAAACGTCGTACACCGGGTCAAATTTTACTACGATATTGACGTCTATACACTGACAAATTTGTACTCTGGGGCATTCATAGACCGAGGTTCCACTGTACACTTTGCACCAGGCCCTGATTCCTGGAATTCCACATTCATCAAGAATTGTACAAAAAATTATTGCAGGTTTATAACTAAACTATAACTTTATAAAATAATCTATTCTTTACTGCTAGAATCCACTCGATAAAAACAATAAAAATGTTGGAACCAATTAAAATGTTTAAATCTGTTCTCTAATGTGGAGGCAGAAGAGATACTGGTGTATATAAAATAATTTATACTTGGAAAATACTAAGAGGGTCTGATTCCAGACCTGCACTTGGAAATAACATCACCTAAGAACAGGAGACATGGCAAGATGTGTAAAATAGCCCTGTTGAAAAGGAGTAGTGCATTAGGTATGCTGAGAGAGAGAGAACTTTATCAACATTATTAGTCCAAGACTTTTCAACACTCACTACACATAAGAGACATTAATGACTGACCTCTCATGCTGTTCAAAAACAAACTTAATAAACATGTCCAAAAGATACCTGATCAACCAGGCTATGATTTGTGTGTCAGGCTGCATGCAGTTACATCAAACATTTTGGTTGACCAGACCACCAAGCAGGAGGCCTGGTCAGATATCGGACTGCGGAGATGTTGATACTTGGAACCATCGCAAGGTAAGGTAATGGCTTTTCCATGATAGGGAGCTAATTGGAGGGAGTAAAGCATCTCAGGCTTTAGGATATAAATTGTAATGTTGGCTTTAACCCTTAAAGAGTAGCTCCCATCTTATGATGATTTAAACTATTATTATTGTTGGTATCTTCATGGAAGCAATGGAGTTTACTTTGACCCACGAAAGAATCCTGCTATCGTTTGATACCGTACTGACCTCTATCAGAAGGTCGGCATAGTGACATACTTTGCTGGTTTGATCTTCTCTCCTCTGCTCTTTGTGTCTATACTTTTTGACACATCTTTATCTCCATCCATCTTTCAGGCAAACCAGTGGGCTCTTTGATGGTGTCCCATCGGCATTCCTCTTCTCGGCAACAGTATGAGATTTCGTGTTGTTCTTATCATCACTTCCTATCCCTTCATTGTTGTTCTTCCATTTCTGAGCATGTGGTGCCCTCCTTTCTTTCTTGGCTTTTTTCCTGTTTGGTATGTCGTGCTGCATACTGTCGCCTTATATTGTGCAGTGCTGGCGGGGCCACGGCAGCTTATGTTCAATGTAGATACTACCTTGGCACCATTTCACATGTCTCGTGCTTTGTTTGACTGGGTTCAGAAACTGGATAGGTTTTCTTTTGGGGCATCAGGCTTACCACTTCCATACTTTGAAAGAGAAGTAGACAACAACCCCATGCACTCGGCCCCAGATCTTGACTTCTGGAATTCAATATTCATAAAGAAATGTAGAGTGACAGTAGAATGAGCACTCAGTATAATATGAAGAAAAAGCTTGGATTCAGGTGAGATACGAGAAGCATTTAAATCGGCAGATTTAAGTGTACAAGGGAGGTAGTAAAACTTTGGCAAAAAACTATAGACCAATTGCACTATCACACATAATAAAAGATTTGAAAGAGTGATTAGGAATCAAATCTTTAGTTTCATGGAGAATAATGAACTTCACAAACCAGCTCAACATGGGTTAGAGCAGGAAGATTTTTTCTTTCACAACTACTCAACAACAATGACAAAATCACAGAAGCATTTGAAGACAAAATGCAGATGTTACAGTATATACATAGAGTTTGCAAAGTCATTTGATAAGAATGACAATGAAGTGAAAACACAAAATGAGATCAATAGGAATAACAGTTAAAGTAGGGCATTGGATTTTCAATTTTCTGTCAAACAGAAAGCAGAGTCAACAGAATGCAGTTTATCAAATAAAATCAAGTCCAAGTTCAGTGAATATCTCTGTACCCCAGGACACAGTCCTGGCACCACTGCTTTTTCTGTCTCATATCAGATATAGCCAAGAATACAAGTCACAGCTTTGTCATCATTTGTGGATGATACAAAAAATCAGCATGAAAATACTTTAGTAGAAGACACTGAAAAACTACAATCTGATATTGATAAGTCTGTTGATACAAGATAAGAGGGTCCTGGTAGTAGAGTCGAGTTCGTTCTCAACTCATAATCGAGAATTGTGTGCTCGAGTCCCGGGCATCACAGAAATGGTTGGGCGCAATTCCTTTCACCTTATGCTACTGTCCACCTAGCAATAAATAGGTACCCAAGGAGTTAGTCAGCTTGTTGTTTTCGATCCTGGGGGAGGAGACCTCAGTAAAAGCCTGACAGGCACTATATGTGTAACCTGACTTTGTGTTCTCCGACATAATGAATTATTATTATTATTTTTATTGTCTTTCATTGGGCAAAAGAAAATAACATGATGTTTAATAGTGATAGGCCCCAGGTATTTAGGTATGGTTGAAATGAAGAACTTAGTGAAATACTGTACAAGGCTCTTGCTTGACATTTCATTATACAAATGCAAGTTTCACTCCACCTTCCCCTCAATTGGAGTGGGGGAGGTGGGGTGAACAAGGGGATGCTACTTTCATGAAATTTAGATAGTTTTTTACAGTGTTCGGGCGTTCTTTGTGTTTTTTGGAAGCTACGGTCTGACTTCTGACCAAGTAATGGTCTGTTTTGTTTCGCTATTTTCTGGGTACCTTCCCTGGTGATGGCAGACATGAATAAATTCATAGAATTTAATCATAATGGCCATCGCTCCCTGTACCTCTATGAGGAGACCAGTTTCTGGCTCGTGACTGATATGATCACTAATAAACAAAAATAGAAATCCGCGACTGATGGCACATAGTAGTTCGCACTATATCAGATATAGTATCTTCAGGGAGCCATCGGGGCTCACTCAGAAATGGGCATTTCATTACATTAAACATTGGTGTTTTGAACATACATTTCATCTGTACAGAATTAAAATGGTGCAAAGTTGAACAATACCTAACTATAAATGAAGGAAGTAAATCTCATCAATATCACACCGATTAATTTAGTTGATTTTGTATGTGACAGGAAGCCTGTCTGTGTGTGTGTACATATATGAATGTGTGTATTTTATTTTCCCCTCCTTTATCTTCAATTTGGTCTTTTTATATTTATGTACAGTACTTAGAAACAAGGATTTGTTAAGTTACCCTTATTTATATGTGATAACTTTGTTTTTCCAGTTGTGGTTGTCACTATGTGGGAGAGAAGAGATGCCGGTAAGTTGAAAGTTCACTATGATATATAAAAATGTGTAAAGTTTACGTGGGATGTGGTTCTTCATTCACATATCAAAATTGTCTTCTGATTATAATACTTATCCGCAGTCATACTTGTTTCATTCCACACACACACACACACACACACTCGCATATCATTATAGAAAGATGTTTCACAGTCCTTTAAGTTTAGAAGAATGGAAGAAATTTCAATAGTTTATATTAGCTCATATTGTGGTGCTATTTACCATGAGCACAGCCCAGTGAGGGCAACCATGTAACATTATATTGAACAGCTAAATTGAGGGAAATATCAGGGGATGGTGCCAAGCCATTACGACTATAAAGCACTAGGAAGGGATCAGGATAAGGATTTGGGATGGGACGGGGGGAATGGAATGGTGCCCAACCACTTGGACGGTCGGGGATTGAACACTGACCTGCATGAAGTGAGACCATCACTCTACCGTTGAACTTGAAGTATGTAAAATCCTGTCTTCGCTCACTTATCTGGACTATATGGGAAAGACCCCTCACTGGATAAGTCAGACATCCAGATAAGCAGAATTCTTGTGTGTAAAATGCAAATTTGAGAGGGTTACGCTCTCTGTGGTGATTGCATATGTTTCTTGTGATGACAAAAGTGAGAATGAAACTAAAAGTGTTGTGGTACCCTCAAGAGAGAGAGAGAGAGAGAGAGAGAGAGAGAGAGAGAGGAATATGATACCAGGAATTTATAGAATCATTATAAATGATTTGAATGGTAAAGTGGGAATGAACCCTTGAGGTTCATGTGATCAGTATACATGGTGTGCCAGGAGTTAATTATAATGGCTGCTGACTGCAACATATGTGCAATGAATGAAATTTATGCAATACTGATATGTGTAAACTTATTCTAAAAATACATAAGTTCACACAGTATTGTGCAGACAATGAAATAGCAGATATAACTCTTAACTTGTTATATAATTCTAGACGCAGAAGCAGTAAGAGTAATATTTATTGGTTGGGTCTGTTCACTTGATAGTGAATGGTAAATGGAGGATTGTGCCCTCAAAAATTCAAAAAGTTAAATAATGAAACTATATGGGTTAGCTGATGAGCATGAAAAGAAAATTGGTAGTTGCAGTCAGAGTGAATAATGTGGCTGAAGATATGATCACTAAACCCTTACTTCTTATCTTCAATTTACCTGATTCTCTTATTCTTACCTTTTTCTTACCATTTTCATACCTTTCATCTTATTGTTCCCTCTCTTCTTACTTTATCTTTCACTTATACATTACCAAAAAGGGTGCACTTTTTTTTACACGTGCACACCACTTGTCTGTGTGACATTCTAAATGGCTGCTCTCCCATGTCCCTGGTTTTTAGTCTTGTTTGCTTGCTCAGTCAGATTTTGGCTTTCCTGTCCATTTCCATACCTAACTATGATTTGGGGTGGTTGGTTTTTTTCTGACTTAAAATTGTTACGGCTGCCCATGATTTTTTAGTATTTCCAGGTGGCTTGCGTTAATGGAGAAAGGGTATGGGAGTTCAGTTGCCTCTGCGCCTAACACCAGTTCATTTCTCTCTCCTTGTTTTTGTATGTTTGGTCTCTACCAGGTCGAGGAGGGGTGGGTTCTGTCCCTGATCCACCCTCTCCATTGTCAGAGGAGGGTTTCAGAACTTTTGGGGTTGTTCCCAGGTTGGGTGTTTGGAGCTTCCTGAATATGCATATTCAGGAAGCATCATATGCATATTCAGAGGCATCAGTTAAGATATTTAAACCACAGCAATGATCATTTGCCTTGTTTATCTCAGGATTACTGTTTTCCTTCAATCAGTCCCATGTTTTGTTATGTTTATCTCTTCCTTGGTGTGGTATTTTCTTGGTTTTAGTCTGATCTCTGATTCCCAGGCTCCCCTCATTTCATAGAGAGAGAACCAATCCTGGTCCAGGGTTTCATTAGGGCATATTCACAGATATTAACTAAGGGCCCACCAACAAAGCATTATTAATTACATTCAGCACTTAATTACTTCTGGGCTGATGCCTCCACACTCAATTAAAATTTCAACCAGGGTAGTAATAATGATGATAAGATTTGAAATACAGTATATACCATTCATATACCTACTAATCAGTATTAACCAACTCTACCATTTATATCTTACTAGTACAATACATCTTTAGGGCATCTTTAATGCCACGGTTCACTAAAAATATTAAAGTTAATAAAAACAATAATAAGGATACTGTAATAAAATGCCGTTGTTTAATATTTTAGATATGGCACCCTCCAACTCCTCCACGAGATGATAATGACGTCTATATTGATCACGCACTCGGTTTCTGGTATGATTCTAGTACAATGCCAGAATCTGCTCTGCCTCCTGTGTACATCAAGAAGGAACATAAAAGACTCAAATTGGAACCAGGTACTGTTAGTAAGCTTTGCTGTTTATGAGAAAGATAGGCTTGGGATATATAAAGATTTTGTTTTTGTAATTCTTTAACCCCTAAATGCAACTCTCATTAAAATTGCCATCTTACCTGCAGCCATCATTACCACAACAACCATAATTACCACCATTATCACCACAATCATCATTACCACTTAAACTATCATTATTTAAAGTGGTATTTTTTATACCCCTTATAAATTTAATTTTTATGTTTTTTCAAAGGTGCATCAGGAGATGGATCCTGTGGATTGCGCCGACCTCAGAAACTTCGCCGTGAAGATGCTGTGTGCGCTCCTCGTTCCCTCTTTGATCGACCCTCACCTGCTGTTGTTAAGATACGCCGAGATCTTAAACTTCAGAAATATAGAGGCATTGTCCGGCCCAGCATTCCACTTCCGGGTTTAAAACCAGCCATTTTGACTAAACCTCCTGCAGCAGAACCTGAGAATACTCCAGAGTGGACAGTACATGAAGACTGGGCTGTTGTCCAAGCAGTGCAGCAGCACCTCCAGTTGGAATTGCCTGTTAATCTGCTTGTGTTATCACCTGGTCACACTCCTAATTGGGATCTTGTAGCTGATTTAGTAAATTCAATATCGCGCTGCTACCGCTCACCACGCCACTGTAGGACTCGGTATGAGAGTACCATCCTTCCTCGTGAAGAAGGAAAGTTACCACCAGAAGTAACCACCAAAAAAATATCAAAGAAGCAAAAATCAGGAGTTCTTTCAAAGCCTATACACGTATGTATCGTAAGAGGTTCCCAAGTTCTTCCAGAAGTATTTTAATATGTTGTGATCTATTTTCTGTAGAAGTAAATAAGGGACATTGTTGAATGCCAAGTGGTGTGTTGAGGAAGAAATGGATTAGACATATCTAGCAGAGAAATATGTAGGTAACCTTTGTAACTGAGTTAGGGTCCCAGGTAAATTAGAAACTGCATTATAATAAGTGGCATGTTGAGTAAATTCACTGGTAAAATAAAAATCACATCCTTTTTTTTTTAAAGGAAAAAATTATAAATAATTATTGAAACCATTCATATGGACTTAATACTTAGTTCATGGAACTGCTAAAATACAGTACAGTATTTTGCTACAGTGGAAGACATGGCTAATAGGTATATTTATATACAGTATATGCTGTGTGTGTGTGTGTGTAATTACCTAAGTGTAATGATAGGATGAGAGCTATGTTTGTGGTGTCCCATCTTCCCAGTTCTCTTGGTCATATAATGCTTTGAAACTACTAGCAATTTTGGCCTCCAGCACTTAACATGTTCCAACTGTCTACCACTGTTTGCAAAAGAAAACTTAATAATAATTTTTCGACACCTTTGTTTCCTTAGCTTGAATCTGTAACCCCTTGTTCTTGAAGTTGCCAGTTTCAGGAATTCCTCTGTCAGTTTAGTTGATTCCTGTTGTTATTGTGTAAGTGGTGATCATATTGCCTTTTTCTCTTTTATCTTCTAGTTTTGGCATATTTAATGCCCCTAGCCTCTTTTCATTTCTGGAAGCCATTTTGTATCAAGCCTTTGCACCTTTTTCTGTTTATTAATGTGCATCTTGAGATGTGGGCAACATACAACTACTACATATTCCAATTTTGGTCTCTCAGAAATTATAAACAGTTTCTTTAGTATTTCACCATCAATGTAATAAAAAGCAATTCTGAAGTTGGAAAACACAGCATATGTTCCTCTCAATAATTTTTGTTACCCTGATGACAGTATTATCCACAACCACCCTTAGATTTTTTCTTACGAGTTCTTTAATTCTTTTCTGCATAATTTGTAGGTTGTGTGTATGGTCTATTTTCTCCTATTTCACATTCTATAACATGGCATTTATTCACATTGAACTCCATTTGCCACATGGTTCTCCGAACGCTTATTTTATCCAGGTCAATTTGAAGGGCATTACAATCATCTAGATTTTCTGTCTTTTTCAGCAGCATAACATCATTAGCAAACATGTTCATATAATTCTGCATTCCTTCTGGTAGATTGTTTATGTATACAGTACAATGAACATTACTGGTGAAAGAACTGAACCCTATGGTACTCTACTAGTACTGTACACTCCTCCAGTCTGATACATTGCCTCTGATTACTGCTCTCATCTGTCAGAAATTTTTTTATCAATGTCAGCAGTCTTCCTGTCACCCCTCCAACATGTTCCAGTTTCCAAAACAACCTCTTGTGTGGGTCTTCAAAAAGTTTTTTTTTTTTTAGGTACAGATAAACACAGTCAACCTGACTTTCTCTTTCCTGTAGAACCTCTGTGGCTCTATCATAAAAACGATGTTAGAGCCACTGTGTGTGTGTGTAGTAGTGGGGATGAGCCATGGCTCTTGGGTCCTACCTCTCACGTCTTAATTGACTGGGATATAGGTTCCAGTGCCTATTTGGCTCTTATCTTATATATATATATATATACAGTATATACATTTAAAGCTGTGTATAAAGTCTGCTTCCACTTAACTTCTTAGTGCAATCCAATTTAGTATAGTATTTGGTGCCCTTGTGGGTTCTCAAATGTTTTCTTGCACGTAATCTATCTAATGTTCTTTGTTTTTATGTCTTTCACTTGACTCTTTCAGACAAGGGTCACAGACCAATTGTTATTGCTTCATATTTGGCAGCTCTGGTTGAGCTGTTACTTGCCTTTCGCCTTAATTTTTCTAGTCCTCAATTCTTGAATCGTGGGAAGGCTTTCTTTAATACTGTACTCATCTTTTTCACGAGTCATAATGGAGAACTCACAGTTGGAAGTAAGGCGACAGTGGTACAGAAATAGAAGTACTGGTACTATATACACTTTGTTATTTCCATTCTCTCCCTTCTTTTCCCAGTCTTTCCTGTGCTTGGCACAGGAAAGACTGGTATGGTATTTTACTTTCCTTGGAAGATCATGTAGAATGCGAGGAGGTTGGGTCAGGGGGTCGTCATTGTAGTTTTTGTCAGGTAGTGAAATGTTGAACTTATCAGTAGTTAGCAAGGCTGTTTCTTGCCAGTCCTTATGATGCCAAACAGTTCACAGAAAATGCTTGTGCTTGTGCAGAATGTTGACCTGACCTATTTGTGTAAAATTCTAACCAAAGAGTTCAATAGAATCTTCTCATAAGGAGTATGAAAGTGTCCTGCTAAGTAAATGCTTGTTATATACAATTAAAGCCTGATTTTATTTTTAAATATTTAGTTATGATTATTTTATATTTGCAGAAAAGCTCACGTCCAATGCGAACTTCACAGTTGTTTGCTCAGGATAACAACAGCAGTTTCTCCTCTCTGTATTGCACTCGGTTTGAAACAATTAAAAATATAGCCATAAAACGCACCCCAACAACCAAACCACCACTAGTAAATCCCACTCATAAAAATCCCAAGCATGCTCAAGTGCTTGCAGAATCAGGAATTCAGTATGATGGTCCTCTCAATCCAGGTCAGGTAGCTGCAAATCTTGCAGAACGCATTCAGCGTGCAAAACAAAAATCTCAGGCTGAACTTGCTCAACAACAGCAACAAAAACTTCTTCAGCAGCAACAGCTTCAACTTCAACAACAGCAGCAGCAACAGCAACAACAAATACAGCAAGCTCAGCTTACTGCAAACCAACTACAGCAACAGTTGCAGCAGCAGCAACAACCCCAGCAAAATCAGGTACAACAACAAACTGTGCAACAACAGGCCCAACAGCAACAAGGTCAGCAGCAGGTTTCAGTGGTAGGAAACACCACGGCTCAACAAGTAGTCAGTAGTGGTCTGTCTGGCAAGGTAGCTACTTCAGTTGTGCTCAGTCAAGGAGCAGCTATGACTGTTGCCACTGTCACGGCTGCCACAGCCACCACTACTGCTGCCTCGTCTTCAACTACTGCGGCAATTCTTGGTGGTGTGCGCACTGCAGCTGGGGTTGCTAATGCTGGCCGGACCACTTTAGCCCTCCAGGAACTACAGGTTCGAACATCAGGGAGTAATCAAGGCACAGTAGTGAGTGTTGCTGGTCTGGCCCAGTTACAGGCTGCAAAACTTACAGCAACATTGTCATCGCAATCTTCTACACAAAAAGGTAACAGACCAGTGTATCTGCAGCTTTTGTTTCAGCTTTCATATGCAGTATGTTAATTTTGTTAAAATATCTTCTAGTGAAAATATGTTGATTTTTTTTTTTTTTAGATTAATCTCCTGAATGAGTTCTAAAATTTACTTTGGATGGTTTTGGGAGTTAAACTATCTTCATTATTTGGTCTTTGAGCCATATGATAAGTATGTTGTTGCTTGCAGTCATATTCTAACATAAGCACCACAGGAACTGGACAATCCCCTTAGTCACAAGGGAATTATGACGAGTCATTTCCTGAAATGCTGATACACCTTTTTAACGTGGGAAACTAAAAACAGTCTTCTGTAATACATCTCTCACATCTATATTCCAATAAGTGAAGATAAAATGTTTTAGTTATTACTATTTCAATAATTTAGGCATTTTAATAGATGTAAAGCAGGAAATAATTCCTCTTATAAATATATAAACGAACACTTCCATCACCTTCAATGAAGGTTGCCAGCATACATCCAAATTTTAGTGTTAAGCATAAACATTATTTTATAACTATCATCCCTGGTTTGGCATGTATAAGATAAAGGGAGCAATAGATTAATAGGAGGAGTGAGAATGACTTGAGATTATAATAATAATTATGATAAATTATTCCTTGTATTCTGGTAAACAGGTGTTACTACAGTTCCAAGATCATTAACTCCAGCCCAGTTGCAATACCTGAAAACACAAGCCCAGGCAAGACAAGCCCTTGCATTGCAACAGCAACAAGGCAAGGTGGTGGCTACAGGTGACCAGACCATTAAGAGGGTTCAGGTCTGTAAAGCCACTGGTGTGTTGTATATATTTGTATTCGTTTACTTGTTATCCAACCTATTCAGGCCAGAGATGAAACAAAAAGTTGGATGGCCCATACATAATACTGTACATATTGTAATATATTTTGTCCACTCACCAAAATATGTGATGTTAATGGTCTTCACATCAGTATTTTTACAGCAATGTACTATTCATGTGAATTTTTATAGACAAACTTTAAAGTACAGATACTGTACAGAACTAACATTACTTGTTTTTCATTAATAAATAACATATTTGTATTTTTTGCTTGGTTTATATTGAAATAGTTTGACAGATAGAGTGGAGATATTTATGTGATAAATGAGATATCTACAAAGAGAGATCATTACTGGCAGTCATGTTACATTAATAAATACAATAAAGTCAACAGTCTGTTCATGTGAGAGGACATCATACTACATTTATTTTATGTTCAATAGTTAATGCTACCTATTTCCTCCAATTTTGGACACTTTGTTTCTTGGCTACATATTTGTTTTAAAATATGTTAGCTGACATATTGAATGGATGTTTCATGTGTTTAAATAAATCCAGTGATAAACTTTAATGCCCATCAAAATAAACAATTGAACTTTGTCCATAATGTGAGTAACACACTTGAGATAGTCGGGGTGTTGGTGGCTGCATAAGATGTAGTTGTTGATCATATATTATCCAAATCCATCTGTAATACAAAAAAAGGCATTTTATAAACATGATTACATTTGTGAAAAATTGACAATTTAAACAAGTGAAGAATGTTAACTGTATAGGACAATAATTACAGATAGCAGGGCAGGCAGGGACGACACAGAAAGTGCAAGTAGCAGTGTCTGGTGGAACTTTGGCAGCTGTTACAGCTATACAGGTAAGACTTGTTTGGTATTATTTATTTTATACAATAGTTAACAAGTTCCAATTGATGGTTCAAAAAGTAATACAACATTTTATGAAAGTTAAGAGGTAAGAGGAAATAAAAAACAAAATCATTAATGTTGAAGATAATCATAGGTTAGTGTGCAGTACTGTAGATCTGAATAAGACATGAATATTAGCATACAGTCCTGTGTATGTCTTGAGTCAAGCAAGCAAGTCTTACACAGTATACTTGAATAAAGCAAGAATGTCTGCATATTGTTTATGCCTTAGGTAAGCCAAGCAGGACGAACACAACTGGTGAAGCCTGGCACAGTGATGGCTGGAGCAAGTGGAGTGATGACTGCTGGAAAAGCTGTGACCCGGACAGTGACAGACAGAGAAGTTGCTGCACTTCTCAAGCAACAACAGCTCAACAAATCTGGACAAGTCGCTCAGGTGAGGCTTGGAAATTTGCCTTGTAGGATTCATTTGATTATTTTAGAATAACTCATTCAAATTTGGAGTTCATATTGCAAATTTCATTAATATAAGTAGTCTTAATAATTATGGTATCTAGTTTGTATTAGATGTAACAAGGGCTCTGTTATTGATACTGGGCAATCCTTGATATTTCATTATCTGATTATGTCTACAAGAATAATAGAAAACAACAATTGGGAAAATGTAACTGATTTACTTTGACATGGAGAACATATTGATATATTTTATATGAGCCATTCTCATAGATAGTTAAGAACAATATATCTTTTGTATTTAAACATTATTTTTTAAATATAATTGTTTTCGCATTCTTAAATCTTATCCTTAACACTCATGTGGCATCCAGAAAACACACTCGTGTCCCAGTGATTCATTTGCTTCCTTAACGTAGCCAGGGTCCACCCAGGTAAAATGCAATGTTCTGGTCAACTTTTGCCCAACCATAATAAGGACCCACTAGAGTAATCACGTACTATAAGACATAAGAAAAGTAACAAATAATTATTGGGATTAAAAAGTGCCATTTATCACTCTGGGAACTACCATTTAGAGAGCTACTGTATTTGCTACCCAACTTTTACTAGGTGGCAACATTAACTATACAGTAGGGTTGAAGGACCCAGCAGCACTCAGTTTTACTCTTTATTTTATATAATTTCTTTTAGCTTTATTTCATGAATTCCCTCCTTGGCACTGACTGTCGAGTACTGACAACCCTCAGAGTTATCTCTGGCTGTTTGATATAGTCCTCAGCATGACTTGACTTCCCTTGAGTTGGGCCACCTCACTAGCTAGGTGCTGAGCTTTCTGTTTGCACACATGCTAAGACCACACAGTCTTCCTTGAAACATTTTGTGGCAGTTCTCTATGGCCAGATGTTCACTTATTGGTGTAGTTGGCCATGTTATTGTTTATTTTTTGTTTTAAGTCATGGGTAAACTTGCACTTCCCCCATCATTCCACTGTTGTTATGGGACCAACAAGGCTCATAGTAATAGAATCCCTTTCTTAATACAGTAGTAGCAACTATTGCTACAACACAACACAGCAACCTTCCCCGGTCTCCCAGTCCTCCCCACCATTCTTCCCCTTCCTCGTCCCCTCATCCTCCCCATCATTCCCCCCTACCCCATTCCTTTGTCCTCCCCACCATCCCCCCACTCCTCTGTCCCCTCGTTCTCCGTCCCCTCATCCTCCTAACCATTCCCCACACCACTGTCCCCCTCGTCCTCCCCACCATCTCCCACTCTGCCGTCCCCTTGTCCTCCCTACCATTTCCCCTCCCCCGTCCCCTAGTCCTACCCATAATTACCCCCTCCCTTGTCTTGTTGTCCTCCCCAATATCTCCCACTCCCGTCCCCTCATCCTCCCCACCATTCCCCACTCCCTCGTCCGATGCATTCCCAAATGGTCTGATGTTCCTATCACTGAAATATGAGAAAAACAGTTAAAAAACAAAATAAAAACAGTTAAAAAATAAAAAAATAAACTATACTCAGGAGATGAACATTATGGTAAACAACACAACCCAATACCAACGCAATGTCACACAAAATAGTTAAATCAAAATGAAAATAAATTGAAATCTATGAAAATTAAATTTGTCAATGCAATCGGAAACATTGAAATGGAATCATAACATATTTAGGATAGCGTGAGTTGCTCTTACGTGCAACAGATGGCGTTGTTTCTTAAAAAAAGAATGTTTTTACCTGTCACAGGTGTGGCATCTATACTTATACTTACGAAATGAACGGTATGGTAAGCAACACAGCTCAATTCCAACGCAATGTTACACAAAATAATTAAATCAAAATGAAACTAAATCATAATCTATGAAAATTTTATTTATCAATGCAATCGGAAACATTGAAATGGAATTGTAACATATTTAGTATAGTGTGTGTGTGTGTGTGTTGCTATTACGTGCAACAGATGGCGCTGTTTTTTAAAAAAACATGCTTTTACCTGTCACTGGTGTGGTATCTATGTAGTAGGTACAGCATATAAAAACATGCGCGTATTCGAATGAAACGTTGTGTCAAAATTTCAAAGCAATTGGTGAAGAACTTTCGGAGATAACAGCGTGTGTTGCTCTTACGTCCAACAGATGGTGCTGTTTAAAAAAAAAAAATTGTTTTTTCCTGTCACAGGTGAGGCATGTATATAGTAGGTATATAAAAACGCGCCTATTCGAATGCAACGTTGTGTCAAAATTTCAAAGCAATCTGTAAAGAGGTTTCGAAGATTTCCCTCACACGAAAAACACAGTTTTTAAAAAAATCATGTTTTTCCCGTCACAGACATGACATCTATATAGTATGTACGTATATAGAAACCCACTCGGATGCAAATGGAACGATGTGTGAAAATTTCAAAGTAATCAGTGAAGAACTTTCGGAGATTAGTGATTATGAACAAACTAACATTTCCATTTTTTTTTTATATAGATTGTGATGTAACAAATTTAAATATACAATAATAAAGACCTGATTAATTGAAAAGGATTATTACTTTTTTGTTGAGCATGCTGCCAGCTGCTCCTTTTCAATTCACTTTTGAGTATGTGTGTCATGAATTCCCCAGTAATTTGAGTGTTAAATGTTCTTTTATTGTAAAATCTTCTCTTCAATTCTATATTGATTTCAAAACTTACACTACATGCATGACTAAATCTGTAATATGGTCTTTGTATTGCTGGATTAGGTGCAAGTACCCTCTGCACAACTCTTGGCTGGCCTTCAAGTTCAGGGGAGTGTAAGTGGTGGTACACCAGTGGCAACATTAGTAAAGACTGTCAGTGCTCCCAGTACTATGGTACACACACCAACCACAGTAACTCTGCCTGTGTCTGCTATTAACGTGACACTTCCTCAAGCTAGAGTTACCACTGCAGCCACTGTTGCTAAGGCTGCCACCACCCAACAGGTTAGTTGTTCAACCACACTCATAATACGAGCCATAAACATTTAAATCTGAGTTCTAATGTGTTTACTAGCACAGTCCTTAGCATTCCACTTATGAATATTATTTTGTAAATAAAACAAAAAATTATTATGCAACATATATATACTGTGACAAATCGTATTCATATACCCTATCTTACCTCGGATATTATTGAAACTTTCCTTGCAGACAGTGCGAAATATACCTTTACCACAGCAGCTATTGGCAAAGCAGAGATCACTGATGGGAGTTAAAGGTGCTGTTGGGCTACAATTAGGCAGTAAAGGTGTAGGTGGCACTGGGCTTAACACAGTGCAGATAGTACAGGGTGGTGGCCAGAAACAGATGTCACATGTCACGGTACAACAAATACAACAGGTTTTTAAACAGGTGCCTCAACAGACCATCCAACATATTACACAGGTTTGTGACACCGTTATACGTTTAGTCTTTATTTTAGTTTCTGTAGCTAGTGTACAAGTAATGCTGCTGTTTATTGATCATTATATTTTTACAAGTGTAAATGTGTAAGAATTGTTGGCTATAATAGTACAGTAGTGAAAAGTAATTATATTTGGATGTCAAGGTATTAGAATTAACTTTTAAGTGGCAGGAATCATAATAATATGTTTTCTCTAGGGCTTATTGGCCTAGCATGAATTATAATATTGCACTGTACTGTACTCTATATTTTCCAAGTGACTGGCACTTTACACCAATCAAGTTATCAACTGCTGAAAAATACTTATAATTTGATATGGTATGATTGTAACCATAAAAGATCAGTGTGATAGTTTCAGGGAGGCTTTGGGGCTTGCCCAGAAATTCACGTTTCATAACATTCAACGCTCTTTTTTTTTTTTTTTTATGGTAACGTACAGTATAATAGTACAGCCCATCCTCCTAAAATGAAAGTGCTTATCGTAATGATTTTGTCAAAGGTACCAATATGTAGTAATGGATAACCAGAAACCTGACTTTCGTATTATTGAATTTGGACAAACCAGGAACTTTTTAATAGCATCAGAAATAAAAACCTTATCTAACCTAAGCTAACCTCTTCTAATACATCCAATACATGCTTGCTTGGGCCTAATATAATACATACTAGTATATGCTATACAGGGCCTATGAATATTTAAGTTTGGTTTTTAACTTTCTCTGAACTACAAAATTAATAGTACAAAATGTGGTTTACTGGTCACTACAAGTACTGTACAGTACTCTCATTTCAGGAGGATGGATTGAATAATAATAATATCACGTAGTCAACTCATTACAGTTCTAGTGCATTATGTAAGATATATCCATTTGTACATAGGGTGGCACAGTGAGTGGCACTGTAGTAGGGAAAGCGGTGGGGAACACAGTGGCAGGCACCAGCGTCACAACGTCAGGCAGCCAAGGCATTAGCACCTCCCACACTACCAAGCTGGTACCAATGACCATTGCATCACATCAGCAGCAACCTATCAAGCAAACCATTCAGGTACCTCAGAGTAACTAGGTCAATTTATAATTTAAGAAGTGAATGCTAATTTAACCCTTATGTTCCCTTATTCCTTGATCATCTTATAAAATAAAATACCTTTCGGTGTTTTCTTCAGCTCCTTTGATCTGCAGTTATTAAAGAACTAAGTATGGAGCCGTATTTTGAACTTGGATATATATTTTTTCTTTTTCCAGGGTTATGAATATTTTAGTCTGTAACCCTCCTTTTCTGATAATGTATTCTTATAGTAAAGAGCTCCCTGTAAATAAAACTTAAAATAGTTTACAGGATAGATTCTTGAATGCTACTTGGATAAGCATTCTATCTTGGGTAATACATAGGAGATTAGGAGGTCAGGTCACCAGCACTGGTCAACTCGTGATCAGCGACTTAGCCAAGCATTTCTAAGCAATTGACAGTTCGATCAAGCCATCATATCTGAAAAATATTGCCAATGTTGATTGCTATAAGGATCATCATAATTGTAATATAATTTCCCTATTTCTCACTTCAGTTGGTGGGGATTAATAATTTTGCTATATAATTTTTTTTATACTCAATTTAATGATGTATTTTAGGTAGTGTCAGCTGGCTCTACAGTGGTTGGTGGAGGTTCTGCAATCCGTGTGAGTGCCGGGGAGCGCTCGTCACCATCAACTTTAGCTCTACAAGCTGGAACAATGAAAGTAACTAACCCTGCCATACTGTCTCAAGTGGCAGCCCTACAAGGACAACCAATGTCTGTTGCTGTCAGAACTCCAACACAGAGTCCAGTCAGAATACAGACATCGGCCCTCCAAACTCAGCAGACAGCACAGACTCAACAACAGCAGCAACAACAGCAACAACAGAACCAACAACAGGGACAACAGCAGAGTGGCATTGGCCAGTAAATGAAAATACTGTAAAGGATCATTGCCATCTAAATATGCACTCTTTTTATTTCATTGGAAAGAATATATGCTGCTTACCTACTAGGCTTCAAAATGTCATTGTAGTAAAGATCTCTAAGTATATTTACAGCTGTAAGGCTGCAGTTTTATTTCATTTTTGGTTTTTAAATTTTTCTTATGCCTTTGTTTATTGCATTTATATTGCAGAAACTTTTTTTTATCTGGTTACTGGGTAATATTATTCAGCGTTACCCAAGTTAAAATTGGCAGTTGTGTCTACCACACTAGAACCTAGTCTAATAAACTTCTTGCTCAGGACATTTCCTTTATGCCATTAGTTGGATGTAAAATTTTTGAGAGATTAAATAACTTATACAAATGCTATGAGTTATCAATTTATATGCATTACATGAATGCATTCCTGGTGTCTCAGCTCCTCAAAGGCTATTTCATCATTTCCAGTGCTGCATAGTTGGCAGGAGAGACTAACCATTCAAATGGTATATGGTACATTTTATAATAAAGTCATACTGGGGGGGTTTCTTTGACACTACTCTGAAACATTGACACATTATCACATGTGGTTTTAAACTTTGAAACGATTTGTGATACATTAGGCCCACACCATTAAAAGTACCAGACAGTAAAAGACTGCCCAGCTCTTGTAATTACTAAACACCACTGTAAAACGATGATCCCACACCCACTTCGGAGGCAGGTCCTGAAATACTGGGCACGCATTTTAAAAATGTGTCACTTTTAACATCTTTTGTGTTAAGAAAAGTATGATCAGTCTTGGAACTTTGATCAAACATATACGCAAGCATTCCCAGTGAACACATGTGAGCATGCACACATGTACATACACAAACACTCCTCATTAACACATGCGAGCATGCACACATGTACATACACAAACACTTCTCATTAACACGTGTGAGCATGCACACATGTACATACGCAAACACTCCTCATTAACACGTGTGAGCATGCACACATGTACATACGCAAACACTCCTCATGCACACATGAACGCGCACACCACACACGCACAAACACAGAGGTGAGCATGCACATAAATCAAACACTCCCTATAAACACAGATGAGTATACATACACATAAAAGTCACATAAATTCATGCATGTATAAATAATCAAGCATTAAATTATTTACCGCTATGGATATACAAATTTTGTATGTGAATATAGTAATAAAACTAATCAATGCATGGGTGTCTATTGTGGTAATTTGAGGCTGAGAGCAGTAAACCCTAAAGCTTCAATGATGTCTTTATTCTCATGAATTACAATATCATATCCTTCATTTTTACCTAGGATTTTATATGTAGTAAAACAATATCTCTCTTTCTCCTCTTTCTCATATATATATATATATATATATATATATATATATATCTATCTATCCATCCACTGCCTGAAATGGAGCGACTCGCAGAACCTAATAGGCCAAGTTGCCTAACAAGCTGAGTTTTCCTGAAATTACATACAGTATTTTTCTAAAAAAAAATTCTTACGGAATGATAAAGCTTTCATTATATTATATTTATATGAATTTTTTTGTTAAATTTGATTTACAATTAATGTAGAAATACTGTATGACCAAACCTAACTTAACTTACCCAAACCTGTTACAACCTAACCTAACTTAGCTAAGTCTCTAATTCATGTTCTTAATATATTATAACATTTAAAATAAATCAATTTAATTTTGTTTAATAACGACAATCACTCTGCCTGTTAGGCAAATTGGGTCTTGCTTATTATTAGGCCAATAGCACCTTCTAACTGTTAGATGTGTGTGTGTGTATGTATGTATGTGTGTGTGTATATATGTATGTATGTATATATATATATATATATATATATATATATATATATATATATATATATATATATATATATATATATATATATATATACACACACATTATATTCTAGACCTTTTTTTTCTTCTCATTTCTTTACACAAATAAAATACATTTTAATTAATAAATGCAAAGTGAATGGTTAGGGGAACCTGTACAGTATTCAAAATAATATTGTATTTCGAAGACACTGTAATGATGTAAGTATTGTAACTTTGGCACTGATATTGTTCACCTGAGATCCATGATATGGCCAGCAGCTGGAGCTAGATGTTTCTCAGCTGTAGATAAATATGAAGGTCTATTACTAGTAAGGTTATATTTATAAATAAAATGCTAAAATAGAGAGGCTTTTTATTTTTGCCAAATATTTACTTGTTTTGAGGGACTGCTCAGTAGGTCTTGGAGCTTAGCTCTGGTGCTTTCAAGCTGAAGCCAAGTGAGAACCCGTTACAGCAGTCGAATGTGGTATATATGTGCTCCTGCCCCCACAAAGGATGCAACCTTCGATCTAATAACAGTACATAGGTATGACATCTTCCAAGCTCATGAGGCATTTACCTGTCATCTTCAATGAGGTGCTCCTAAAAATCACATGAGAGAAGCCCATGACATTACCCTAATAAGAGAAATGAATAAAAACACTTGGATATTAGACGAAACCCAAGATGTAAGAAGATTATAAATTCTTGAAATCCTTCACATAAAAGCTGAATAATCCACCATAAATACTCAAATAACAGAACTATTCACTCTACTCACCATGAGAGAGTAAGACCAGAATGTGAAGATGACAATGATGACGTCTCTGCCCAAACTGCCATGCCAACTACACCTGACTAATCTTTGTATAGGTTATTGACCCATGCCTCTTACCTTTACTCCTTATTCCTCACCTAACTTTATGTACTTGACCTCTCAGCAGTATAAATCCGATATGTTTTCTCCCGTCTTCTTATGGGCTATTCGTGCCCATGTCACCTCTGGGGTGGTTTACTCTTCATTAATCAATCAATCCTGTCTTCTCACTTGAGAATGAACCTTGTAGGTTCGAAATGTTGTGTAAATCAACCCATCCTCCTGCTTAGATAGTACTTTTTGTAAGTACCATCGTACAAATATTGACATACTAGGCAATTAGATAGTAGAATTTTGTACTATTCACTTAATTGAGTCTGGAAAAATTAAGTTAAAAAATTTAAATATTCCTAGACCTAGTATAGCACACATATAGGTTTGTCCAAATTCAATTGTACTGATTTCTACTTTCTAATTGTGTTGTACATCGGTATATGTACTATGGTCCCGTGGTGCTATTATAGCAGTCCCTGTGGTGTAGTGGTTAAGACACTCGCCTGGCATTTCGCGAGCGCTTTGTCCTGGGTTCGTATCTTGGCCGGGGAGAATTTACTGGGTATCAATCCTTAACTGTAACCTGTATACAGTATATATATTTATATATATATTATATATATGTACATATTATAGTATATGTCCTCGGATATCCTTATCTTCGACCAGTGCTACAGGTGAATTAGTGAATGAAATACTACCAGAATACCTAAGAGATTCCAGTGGGATTCATGATCCCAAATTCACGGAAGGAGCCAGCCAGAGGGACAATCTTGCCAACTTTAACAATCGACTGCAAACAGTCCAAATGGAATAGCCCCATAGCGGAGAACATTGCCACAGCAATGCTCGAGGCAGCTTCTGGGAAGGACAAAGTGTGTCTCCTAGCTGTTCAAGCTCCCCATGCTGGGGACTTCCTGTTGGTTGTCCCTAATACCGTCTTGGGTATCCGCCTGGACCATCGGGCCCTAAGTATTGGTGTTGCCTTGCCAACCCTATTTCCACCGAACACAGGTCTATCTGTGGCTCTGCGTCAGCAGACCAATACGGCAGCCATGGTCTCATCTGTCGTAGGTCACCGGGAAAGAATGCCAGATATGAAGCAGTCAATGACATCAAGAGAAGTTTGGCTACAGTTGGGTGTCTAGCACAAAGGGAACCTCATTTGTGCAGACCTGATAAGTCACAAACGCCCAGATGGAGTCATCCTGCAGCCATGGAGGGAAGGTAGACAGGTCGTATGGGACTACACATGTGTACATTGGTTGATACCTATCCATCTCGTAGTACAACTGAGGAAGGCGGGGTGGCCACCTTCAGGGAGACCCAGAAAACTAACAAGTACAGGGACCTAGAACATTGTTACAGGTTCGTGCAGATAGGCTCTGAGACCCTGAGCGTAAATGTGCACTTAAGTTCCTAAAGGAGGTGGGTGAGGAACTCATTAGGAAAATTAAAGACTCGAGAGCAGCCAGTTTCTTGTTCCAGCGCCTCAGTGTTGCGATCCAGAGAGGAAATGCTTGCTATATCTTGGGCAAGCACCCAACCTCTGAAGAGCTGGATGAGGTCTTCAAACAGTGATTGTTATATGTGTGTTTTCTGTAAAATGTAGCACTGCAATAAAATTAATAATAATGAAAAAAAATTAGGGGTGATAGAAGAAAATATTAGTATTCGGTGAAAATCCACAAGGATTTTGTGGATTTTCAATCTGAATACTCTTTATTTTCTTCTTCGAGACTGTGGGTCCCTACAATTGCACCAGAGATAGTACCCCTGGTCTCTTTGCCACTCTTCATCCTATCTTCCCATTTTTTACTGCACTAAAACAACTGTATATAATAATACATGATTATGATTACGATACCAAAACCTTTAGAGGAACACAAAACACATTTCACACCTGACTATGGAAATCACATGGGGTCTCCATAAAGGCTAATATTTCTTAAAGCATTTAACTTAGGCCAACCCTGACCAATTAACCTATCTCCGTGATGTACCCCAGACCATTACCCCCTTTAAAGTTTGGGTGAGGCTAGCCCCAGTTGTCTAGAATTTAGAGAGACAATCAAACATTCTTTGTTAAAGACATAGAAAGAAGGGATACCCGGCTGGACCCAGGTCTCATTTTCCCCTCTTTTCACCCTTCCCCCCCCCCCCCCTCACATCTATCTCTCCCCTTTTCCCCTCCTCTTGGTCATATTTTATCCCTCCCCTTATCCCCCACCAAGCTCTCACAAGCACAAGTGTTTCCTAAGGAAATAGAAGAACTCTCAGACCCCATCCAGGTACAATCCGGATCCAGGTATTCCCTCTCATCCTTCCCACCTCTTCTCCCTATCCCCCTTCTCTCGGAAAATTTATTACGAAGCACTGAAATAACTATGGGAACACAACTAATTGTTCATACTTGACTCCATGAAAATTGTATCAAGTGGGGTCTCAAAATGTAAATATTTCTTAAAGCACTTCACTTGGGTCGACCCCGACTGGCCTATGATATTCCACTACCCCACAAGCTTCATGTGTAAAAGTTGGGTGAGGCCCTTAGCGTCTGGCCTCCCAAGCAAATAAGCAAACATTATGTTATAGGTATAGATATGTGGCATAGCTACAATTGTTCATATGCATGGATTATTGAAATATATTTCCTTGTTAATGTTGTCTCGAGCAAGTAATAAAATCGGTTGAAATATCCAGTTGGCAGGCAGCATGGATTGATGTAAAGTTAACATTTACAGTCATGCTACTGAAATTAAGTTCATTATAATAGTTTTGAGAACCAAATTTATTTCGTTATTCATTATCAGAAAAAATCATTACGCGATAACTGGATAATGGCACCTTCTATATCATTAAAAAAGCTTGTAGAAATAGATAATCATGTATGTACAATAAATATAAATACGTGTACATATGTATATATATTTTACAATGTGATACAGTAGAAGAATTAACATAAATTAAGAGCTCAGAAATAATATGTGATGTGTACGAGAAGTTGGGCAAAGTGGCGAGGCAACACTGGCAGCCCAGGGTCTCCAGTGATCGTCACTTCAGTGTTCACTTGTAGACGACTGTGAAAGGATGTACGTCATGTATTGAGTGTAGCGTGTGCTTCGTTTGTGCCCCTTAACGTTTTAAGTCTCTCACGCTCATTATGACGGGGAGTAAGAATGGCAATGAGACCGAAACTAAATCGCCCAGAGAAAGTGGCGAGGACAGTGAAGACGAAAGTGAAATATTAGAGGAGAGTCCGTGTGGAAGATGGTCCAAGCGGCGACAGGAGGTAGGTAGAACACTGTTGTTGTACAGCACTCTAACAAACCTGCCGTAATGGTAGTGTTCTGAAGGGAGGCCTACACAGAGCACCATGTAGGGTGACGTGGGCGTGAGGCAGAGCGAGGGTGGCCTGTAGGAACAAAGGTGTGGTTGAAAGTTATGATCGTATGTCCGCCCGTCCGTGGCGTGACACATCCCCAGGGCGGCCAACCTGGACCTCTCCACCACACACATACACATACATACATATACATTCATACATACACACACATACAGTGACACAACCCTGCCTTACCCCCGAGGTCCTCAGATGGTTCAGTACTGTTGTTATAAAGCTAAGAACTAGCCCTTGAGAGTGTGACAAGGATTTGATAGTGGGAGGCGTTTCATGTGTTGCTGTTGTTGGCAGGGTGCTGCTGCTGTTTCTGCTGCTGCTGCTGCTCATGTGCTGTAGTGTGGCTGTGATGACCAGACCCGCTTGCCTGCTCCCCTCGTTAACACAGCTCTTATCTCGTTATCATAATGCATGACCTTAACCAATAGGCGACGAACGGCTCTACCCAGATTTATAATTGGCACCACCAGTCTTATCAATAAACATTTAATAGTACTTGTCATTCATATACATGTATGAATAATGTATTCTAATGTTTATTGTCAATTGATAAAGGTTGCTATACAAGGTTGTAATGCGTGAACTTTATTCAGGCATCTGACCAATATTTCTCCAGTATTGATTATTTCCTCCAAAGTTAGGCCTATGATCTACTGGTCGATACATGCTCCATTCATATGTATACTGTAAAGTATATAATACGTTATTTATAATATAAGATGTGCTGATTTTATAGGCACTGCGACATATGTAACCTGGTTCAGCTGTTGAAAGTGATGGTCAGGTGACATTTATTAGAACAATATTGGGTTGACATTTCATGTCTTAATTTGATGTATATGTGATAGTGTTTACATGTTTCTAGCAGTGACGACAGACGTGCAGGAAAACACGTCCTCGTCTCTCACCCAGTTTTGCAGAAACTAACAGCAATAACCCACTGTTGAATCACAATCTTTAGTTAAACCTGATTTTATCTGATTTACCCTCGGGCCACTAATCTAGTGGCCTCGACGAGGACAGGAAGCTGGCGGCTTGTTGATGGCCCCCCCCCATTTATTTGTGTTGATGTTTTCTAGGTATATTTAAAAAAAAACAGTTCTGGCAGTTACGGTTTCGGCGGGTTGGCGTTTCCATGGGTTAATAATCCTGTGGGTGAAAAAGCATCTCCTATTCTCAGTCCTACATTGTGGCTTGTTGAGCTTGAAACCGTTGCTCCTTGTTTGTGTTATATCCGACCTTCTGAAGAAAATATCCGGATCAACATCCTCTTAACTTGTTCAGTATTTTAAAAGTTCCAGTGAGATCCGCCCTGTCATGCCTGATCATGCCTAAACGATAAAAATTATCTGCAATGAATTAATTTGCTTATTGTATAGGAACTGGGCAACTGACTGGTAATATGATGAGTACGACTTAAGTCTCATTTAGTTGCCAGTCATTGTCCTGAACTGACCCGACCTGAGGTTCACCTGGAGGAGAATTGGAATAGTTGGCCGTTCACCACATTTTGCCATTTTTATTATATTGACAATTAACCCACACAATAAATCTTCGACATTTATAATGTATTGTGGCGAGCTTCCAAGAAGAAGGGAAGGGAACTATCAAGGGAGAAAGTCAAGCCATCACGACACTATTGCGCTTGGAAGGGATCAGGATAAGGATTTCGGATGGGACGGAGGGAAGGAATGATGCCCAACCATTTGGGGGGTCGGGAATTAAACGCCGACCTATCCTGAGATTATCTTGAGATGATTTTGGAAATTCGGGGCTTAGCTTCCCCGCGGCCCTGTCCTCGACCAGACCTGCATGAAGCGTCACTCTGCCGTCCAGCCAAATACACCTGCACAACACCCCACGACACAGATGGGGTGTAGTGGGGAATGAAACGGACGAGGAAGACCGTAAGGAAGAGGATATAGTATCACGGATGGAAGAGTCTCAGGAAAATGAACTATCTAACAAGAGTGGCGGCGAACTTTATTAGTAACCCCCCCTCGGCAAGTCAAGTTTTCCCTGTATGCGTTCTAACAGAAAATTCGTTCCCTGATCAATTTTGTCACAAGAAGAATGTTGTGGTTGTAGCTGTTAAATGATACACAGTACACTAGAGGTGTAATCTGTATGATTATAGTTTGTACTGTATTAATATTCTCATTTTAGCCAATCAATTATGAGTGAATAAATTTAGCCCTAGCCGTGCCTGATCAACAAAAATAGGATAGAACAATTCCATATAAAATTTTTAAACCCAAAATGTAATACGTGCTGAAACACCTGGGTAGTCGAATCGTGTAACCGCAACGGATCGTCTTGATATATAAAATATGATGGCTAAGGCAGTGGTGAGTGGACCCACTTGTTTCAATACGTTACAGTATTGGCCGATAATTCATGGAATGTTCTATTGCCATCTGCAAACTTCGAGAAATATTGTGAAGAGCAAAACTCTTAGCTCATAAATTTGTTAAATAAAAAAAATAAGACCCCGACCTTAAGATTTACCAAGTTACGCGAATAGTAGAAGTACGATACTTTAATACAGTATTACTAATAATAAAACAAATAATGTTTATTCAGGAACAAGTACATACATACAAAATGAATTACAAACAATGTTGAATTTCTAGATATAGCTAGTATATACTATGCCTAGTCATTAATACGCACAGCGGTTCGGGTAAATCTAGCAAATGCTGTCAAATAGGAAAGGACTTGTACTAATAAATAATACCGTTAACTTTTAGAGTGATTACAGAAGAGTGGATTAAGCCTAATGTAAATATCCTACATTTAATAGCCTAAATTGTTTCACCGACAGAATCTATAAGAAAGGAGGACGGGTGAATGTGAAATAATTATATGCTGCGTTTAAAAAATAAAGGTGGTAAATCCTGAAACTATTTAGATAAAAGAGAAACAAACCAATACTCTATCTTATTAGGAATCGGTATCTTCAAATATGGATACGAAACGAAATTTATTTGGTTAGAAATGACACCGGCTTCAAGGTACTCTAGGCCTATGGCTTTGCCTGTTAGTCATTAAACTTGGATATTGTTATTTTAGTATTATAAACTGGATTTTCATTATTTTTTTGTTGAATTTCTTTACAGTATAGAATATAGAATAAAACTTAAAGGAAAAGTTTTCATTAAGAACGTTGAAGCAAATTCTGGGCAGAATACTAAATTGGGTTAGGTCTAGAGGGACGATTAACTTATAGAAAAAATAGCCAAAGTATAAAATGGAAATATAAATGGAATGCATTCTGAGTACCCAATGAGTACTGAGCAGCATATTGATTGATTGATGAAGATTAAGCCACCCAAGAGGTGGCACGGGCATGAATAGCCCGTAAGTGGTGGCCCTTTTGAGCCATTACCAGTATCAAGAGCTGATACTGGAGATCTGTGGAGGCGCGACTGCACCCTGCGTGACGAGAGATGTCTCCCGGACCAAGTGGTGACCAGATGGTGAGCAGCATATGAACAGCATAGCTATATGTACCATCGGGTTCTGTTCTGTGGTCCCCAATATTCATAATACCGTAGAGCTACCTTACCTTGCTATGATTTTGGGGTTAAACGTCCCCGCGGCCCGGTCCCCGACCAGGCGTCACAAGAACACACACAAGAACAAAGGCAACCGCAGAAGGCCCATTGGCCCATACGCGGCAGCTCCTATCTATAACCACCCAATCCCACTCATATACTTGTCTAACCCGCGCTTGAAACAATAGGGGGACCCCACCTTCACCACGTTACGCGGTAATTTGTTCCACAAATCAACAACCTTGTTACCGAACCAGTATTTACCCAAGTCTTTCCTAAATCTAAACTTATCCAATTAACCCAAGAAAAGCCTCCTGGTTACTAGACTGGTCAACCAGGCGTTGGACGAGGCTGCTCGCAGTTTGACGTATGAATCACAGCCTGGTTGATCAATGATGATCAACACATTGATGAACACATCCTTTGAATGTGTTCATCGACTTCTCTCTTGAACACTGTGAGGGGTCGGCCAGTTATGCCCCTTGTGTGTAGTGGAAGCGTGTTGAATAGTCTCGAGCCTCTGATGTTGATGAAGTTTTCTCTAGGAGTACTTATTGCACCTGGTCTCATATGATGTTAATTGTGTGCAGATTTGGGACCAGCCCCTCAGATATTTTCCACGCCACGTAATATGCCGCAGGCGCTCTAGAGAATACCTATTTAGGCATTTTAGTGGGTCCCAATAGTTTAGATGTTTTATTGAATGGATTCCAGAAGTAAAGGACCTCTCCACGCTCTATGGTTTTACTGCGTTTTGTACGTCAAAAGCCAAGTCTGGTCACAAAAGCCAAATCACGGCATAGCCAACATATAAATTTCGTCCTTTTGGTATAGGATGAGAATAGTTACTGCATCTGCGTTGTATTCCTCCCACGTTGGTGGTATTGTTTCATGGCAGTGAAATACATTGGATACAGTCTTGGATGACATGTTTTGTAACATTACCTGCATGATGAGGTTCTAGGAGTTCTTCTATTCCCCAAGCCCGGCCCGATGCCAGGCTTGACTTGTGAGAGGAAGAGATAGAAGAACATTAGAACATAAGGATCTTATTAAGCTTACACATTCATTATTCATTTCTTCCCTCCTTTTGAAGTGAGAGGATTAATTCATTAACTACCTCGCCTCTCATTAATCTAATCGCCGAGACTTCATTTATCTCTGAAATTCTATCCCCAATACTTAAAGTTTAATCATATTAGCTCAGTAATAGTGTCCTTGGCATCCCTAGATTATTCTCATGGCTTCATATTGTACCTTCAACTTGTTTAGTCAATCTTTACCAAAACAAGAAATGACAGGGGCAGCATGATCAATAAGAGATCTCACAGTATG